TATCTCTAATCAAACGGTACCATATTTTATTCCAACTTTTCATGATATCAAGCAAATTCATGAATCTTCATCCGAACATAATAATAAGGAAATACATTATCATTTCCACTATCATTTTTAATAAGATTTATAATGTATATTAGTTTTAAAAAATAAATTTTATTTGAAATTGAGAATTTTAAAAAATTAAAATTTGTATATATCACGTGATTTTAATAATAACCTGCGGCAATTTTTTCCGTCAGAGTATACATAGTACCTTCCGGATAACATAAATTATCAGATGTGAACATTAAGATGCGTCAGGAATGAAAATTGATAAAAGAAACATAAAAAAAAACCATAAATTCAGCTAATCATTTTTTAAACATTATTATAATTTTTTCTCTTTTTTTTTCTGAGCTTATTAATGCAAAAAAATTTTGAACTTTTCTTTTTAAATGTGATATGGTCAAGAACAATTAATATCAGCGTTGCACATTTTAATACCAATTGAAAGTAGAGGTTGAAAACAATGATATACATTATCCAGAAATTGTGAATAATTTCGCACTCAAATTGGATGAATTTGTAATGGTAAATAATTTCGCACCCAAATTGGATGAAGTTGTGAATCATTTGGCACCCAAGTTGTGAATATGAATTGTATGAAATTGTGAATAATTTTCCTCCCAAATTGAATGAATTGGATAACTGACTGCCCAAATTATATAATTTCCCACCTGAATTGAACAACCTCCCATCCACACTTTAATTGAATAATTTCCCATATGAATTAAAAAACTTTCCCCCTATGCGTAAACAAAATAATTTAAAAACCAGTAAAAAAAAAATAAAAAACAATATATTACTAAGGATTTTGATTGTCCAATAAATAGCAAGAGGTAATGTTATAGATAAAGAAATGATAAAATTATCTAAAAGGTTTATTGCAGAAAATCTTTTTTGTTTACTATCTTTAAACCCTAAAAATAAACCACCCATTGCCGTTAGAAATATTCTGGTCATAATTATATTAGCAACATTGTTAGCTGGATTGTAATTTGTAGTCATTTTCTTTACAAAATAAATTTTGAACTTTAAACTATACGGGATATGAAGTACTTAGTATGATCTACTAACAAGATTAAGTGATAGGGAATTGAAAATTATGTGTGTGGTATATGTAAAATATTCGATTTACTGATAATCAAAATTAAAAGTATGAATTTATAGTTTACTGAGCATAAAAAAAAAAAATTGCAATTTTATCTCAAAAAAAGCAGCTTCCAATTTTTAAATACTGTGTCAACTTGCATCAATTTTTTAAATACTACGCTCAACTATAGCAATTATTTTTAAAAAATATACCAATTTTGGATAGGAAAAACCATTCTGAATATGGAAATTCGGATCTGAGTCACCTGAACATTATACAACTTATAAACTTTTTTTTTATACAGTTTACAGTATATACCGATTAATAAAATTTGCGAATTTTGATAATAAGCGAATATTATTTAAAATTAATTAAATTACATGAATTTAATAAAATATGGTAAGAAAACTATTTTAAACTGAAATATTGCCTCTGAGTGATTAATTTTAATTTTCACCAGAGAATTTTTTTTTAAAAAAAGGTGGTGCTATATAAATTCGAATTTATTAGATATTATATTAAAAAATATTTTTATTTGATCGCTTTAGTTTTTAACAAAGCTATTACATTTTTAATGTGAAATTTGCTTAACAGCCAATACAATCTTTCATTCTATATTAATTTTTACATTTGTTATATTGAAAGTCCAAGATTCAAATCTCATTGAATAAGTTTTTGCAAATGAATTAGTTGAAAAACCAGAATCCAATAAATCTTTTATCTTTGAAGTTTTTATATTATTTAACTAAATCAACAGTCTTTTTCGCAATGATTGCATTTTTGGTGAGTGTTCGATCATGTTTATTAGACTTAGCAACTTTTATAAAATTTAACCGGATTTCTTTTATCAGGCCTTTTACAAACATAAGATTCTTTTTTTTTAATAATAATATGATATTATAATTTAATTACAATCAGATCATAATTGCAATATAATGTATTTAATATTTTTAAACAGATTTAAATCAAATAATTATGATTTTTTTAGCCAAATTAAAATATTTATTTATTTAATAAAAAAAATTTACAACTCAAAAAATAATTTTTTGGCATTTTCTAACAAATTATTCGTTGTCAACATATTATCAATTGGTTCAGAACTTTTCAAATCATCCTCATCTACACCTTCAAAATTATCTTCAATAAATTCTCCTTTGCACATTTCTTCTTCATACTTACTCTTAATGCATTGATATTTTTTTTAACTTCACCCTGAAGAGAATCCAAATATATTGAGCACTTAAATTGACACTTCTTAAAATATTAGTTATAGTAGCTATGACCACATGCAAGAACTATACCACCATCCACATAGTTAACATAGCTAGTGCAATCACAATTCAAATAATTGTATAAGACTGTCATAAAAGATTTCTGGCAGTAATGAAGCCTCTTGGAAAGTGATAATCTGTTATTTCATAACCTAAAGAAGGCAACTTATAAGAGATATACCATCGTCTGATAAATTAATAATTGAAGAATGCAAATAGCAAGCTTGATATATTTTCTTAGATATATCTAAAAAAAATATAATATATTTTTAATAAAATATTTGTAGCTGCTTAGGAGAATATAGATATTTAATAGAATTTACAAAAGATTATTAAAAGCATTGTCCACTCAATGCTGAAAAATAAAGCATATTTTTCTCTGCAATTGGTCTGCCTCAGAAAACTTGGTTGTATATTATTAAATAATGCTATGAATTATTTCTACTAAACAATCACTTAAAGAAACAAGATAGTTAGTAATTATATCAATCATTGAATGATTAATTTCCATCCAATAAAAAATATTAGAAAAAATATTAAAGATGCATTTTCATTTTTATAATTTCTTCAATAAATCAAAAAAAAAATTACTTCAGCAATGCATACAAATGCTAGCCAGTTATCTTTCTAATATTATACCATATAGATGTTGAAAACTAAAAAAATTAAATTACACAAAAGATTGGTTAAATATAAAAATTTAATATTTTATATATAAGAGGTGTGGTGACTTAGTGTAATGGTCTAGTCATTACCCTCTCCAAGCAACAGGTCTAGAGTTCAAATCTCACAGATAATGATATTTGAATAAAATTGGGCTTGTGTTCCAGTTGATGATTATGATTATCAGTTAGATCTAGAATCAAATCTGTAACTTTAGTCACACCATCTAGTTATAGGAGCTTTGGTGCAATAAATCCAGAGAACCAGATTAACTAACAACCCATTTGAGAATTTTCAAGTTGGGAGGTAGCATGATATTTGATGGTACTACAGGAAGGCTAAATTTAAAAACAGTGACTGAGATTAGATAACTAAGTGACCAATCTGGATACTCTAGCTGAACTGCCAGGTAGACGTGCTGGAGGAAAAGGACATATGCTCCAAATTATGTTTCAAGAAGAGGGCGACTATAAGGCACTTAAAGCCTAGGCAGACTGACCCATCCGAGTTGCTAGCTGGAAGCAAAGGAGGGACCAATAAAGAATTTAGGAAAGAAGAAGGTCTGAATGTGGGTATTGGGGTTGTGTAAACTGAACAAGGGCAGGTAATTGTAGGGGTTCAATAGTTAGCCCTAACCCCAAGTACATGGGTGAAGTTGTGGCGTAATTACAGTAAGTCTAAGTAGCTACATATATGGAATATGTACTAGCTTAGCCAGATATTATCTCAGGGGTAAAGTAGCCCTAGATGCCTAACCATAGTTTGGTGTATCAGAGGTTCCACATGTGGAAATAAGTTACAATCAGAGGGTTTAAATAGGTAACTCTCATAGTTTGGGTTGCAGGTATAGCAGATAGTGTAGAACCTTCAGGTGGACTACTTAAATTAAACACCAAAAGTGCACATGTGGCTTGATATACTCTTATTGTAACAAAAACAATAATCTTTAATAAATACAAACACCAACATGGCAAATAAGGTCATTGTTCAAAATAAAAATATATATATATTTTTTTATATATATAACCAAACTTTGAGTAAACCAAATTACTGATTTCAAGCCATGCTATATGTGTAATATGAAGAATTAAATCAATTTGCTATAGTTGTAGCTTTTTACCAAAATTCTTCTTTTTTTGTCCAAATATACCTTTATAGATATCATTAAACAAAAAATAATTTTCTTTAAACAAGTTCATAGCTATTTAAAGAAACATAAAAGGTTCTATTATTAGTAAAAATAGTATAACAAATGAATGAATAACTTAGTTATTAAGAAGGAGCTGATACACAATAGCTTTTCGAATAAAAGACTATCTAAACCAATCTGCAATGATTGAAATTATGTGATTGAAAAGATATGTTTGTATCAGCTCTTAATTATTTACAACTTGAAAAGCTTTCATATCATCTTCAATACTCTTTAAACTTCTTTTAATAAAGTCAAAAAGAATTATATTCTTTACATGTTTATCTTTTTTTTTTGCTAACCTATCATTATAACTGTGCAATATTAGTCTTTTAATAATTTTATTATTAGAAGATTTATCTATATGACTTTGTTTACAAACATGATAAGAGACTCTAAGATTTTCAATAAATCATTCAGCAAGATGATTCACAATTAACTCATTATTAGTAATCTTTGGATTAAGTGCCCCATTACATGGTATAGCTAACATAAAACACAGATTTATTACAATCATTGCTATATATATAGCCCAAGATATACTGGTAGTTTCAGGTTGCCTGTTAATATGAATATTATAATAATCATTAATATTTAGCACAAAAGTATTATTTGACCAATTTTTAAGAGATTTCTTGATGTATTTTCTATGATTATCTGAAATTTGTTTTTTTTATAGTCTACTGCTCTTGCAGTTGTAATTATACCAATATTAGACAATATATTTAGACCTTCATTACTTGTACTAACTGAATCTAAATAGTATGCTAAAACTTAAAAAATTAAGATTAGAATTATTTAACAATTCTAGAAGATAACATAAAAATACTATCAATTTTTTCATATACCTAATTGTTTTCTTACAACATTCAAATGGCCAAGCTAATAAATAAAGTTGGTTAAAAAAATCCTTTAAGCTTGAATCAGTTTGTGTTAGTAATTCTCGCATTTCATCAAAAAAATATATAGGTCCTTCTTTTTGCACATATTCTCTCTTATAAAAGATTTTTGACATTGCTCTAATAACTTCAACAAGATTAATTATACTTACCTCCTCATCATCTATAGCCTCTACTTCCTCTTCCATTATAGTTTTCATGACTCTCAATTATATGTCTTCTTTAATTTTAGCTTCTATTTCTTTCCTAATTATATCTTCTACATCAATTATTTCTTCAACTACATCGCCTACAACTACATCTATTATAGACCCAGCTACAATTACATTAGCTTTAGCTATATCTATATCAACTTCAACTATATCTTCACTAGCATTGACTTCTTCAACCAAGACTTTTACCTGTTTGGCTTTTCTTAACTGATTTTCTACAAAATTCATATGAGATTTAGTGGTTTTACATTGTATGCACTTCTT